TAGACCCTCCACCTACCCTCTACTAGGGCCTCAATACCAACAACAGGGTCTTGGTTGGGCATATTCCTTAAGTAATCTGTGCTGGGCCCGCTGAGATCTTACAAGGTAACAAATGTGGAGCTTGTCTTACGCATGAATGGTCCTGCCAGACTCTAAAATTTGGGTGCTTGCAAACATCAAGCTGCATGGGGGTCCACCCTCATCCTAAACCCTAAACCCCATGTGGTAGATTCCCAGAATAGGGGGACCCTAACATAGGCCCCAAAATACTATAGTCCGTATTATAGGGACTCCAAAAAAGTACCCCTAATTTTGGGCAGCCCTCATGTGATTATTGGGGCGGGGTGACCAACCTGCAAACAACTGTAACTATGCCCGCTTCCTCGCGTACTGCTACCACGTGGCAAAATGATTCCTAGCCCGGATACAAGCATGACACGCATGAATCACGGCCCTTAAATCAGGTGACCCAAATATAGACCCCAAAGTACGATGATCCTTTGTATAGGGACCCAATACGGTACCCTTAATTTTTGTAAACACCACATACACTCTAGAAAGATGCTGCCAAAGCGGCCGACCCTTGTCACTTGTGTAAAGAACAGTCGCAATTCACAACCTATTCAGTGGCTCTTATGTAGTTCCTTTTAGGTTTGTTACCCCAAAGTAACTGCAGTGGAGTTTCTAGGTAGACCTAACAGCAAAACCGATCAATGCCATAAAAACACAAGAATATATGTTCGGAACCATGAGTTCAAAAATACAATGTCGCACCAGCAAAGCCTGGCGGCGTAGTTCCCACAACAAAAGCCTGAATTCTAGCTGCGACACAGGCAATCTAGCGATTCTACGGCGACTCCTAGGATCCCTAATTATGAAAAGCTCTAGCATATGGAAAAGAAATGGAAGCTACTATTTAGGGGTTGCAAGGGCATCTTCAACCCAAAAACTCCAAACCTTAAATCGTTGTCGGCTTGCTCATAGAAGCCCTGGTGAGCCTGCAGTGAAAACCGCAAAGGCAGAGCCCGTAATCTGACTTTACAACCTACCCCTCCTCAACAACCTTAGGCCCTAAATTCCTGCAGCTTAAACCCCCAGAATACGCGGGGCCATTAGGTAGCCTGAAATGATATGATCTGGACCCCACATTCCAGGACAGCCCTACATCCCTACAACCCCAAATCCAATATTATTCCGCCTCTTCCTGGACTTCTGAAACTTCCTTCGGCAAACTCCCCTCGTCCCGCGCCTCCACGGCCCACGCTCTGGACTAACGGCTTCAAGGATTGGGGATTCAACTGGGTTGCTGTTTAGGAACTCAAATGAAGTCACCATATTCTGAGTATATAGCGAAGTAGCCATATGTGAAACCTTAAGACCAGATTTTTCGGATCTTTAGATGTTCAGCGTTTGGGGCTGATATCCTGAGCCCGAAGCCCCGAACATGAAACCAGAAAAGATTTGAGTCCTGAACCCCCCCATTGTAAACTTTGAATGGGTTTAGGGTTTAGGGATCCGAACCCCCCCTAAAACTCTGAACCCTAAGTTCCCAGTCTTGACTCCGTAGCCATGGGTATGCAGTTTCATGTAGGATTTGGCCCGACAGAGACGAGCAAGATACACTAAGAGCTCAGCACACCAAACATCACACATAAAAGAGAGCTTCAGCTTCCAAAAAGGGTTTTAAGGTTTAGTGTTTAGG